ACAACACAGATGTACACTTAAGTATTACTGTACAAGTCAGGTCCGCGTAGAATAGTGGCAAGAATGCTAGCTGCATTCCCCCGCTAAATGGCAAAGCCGATTCTTTGGTCGAAGAACGAGCCAGCTCCGGTCACCCACCAGTAGAGACGATAAGATGATGTATCATGTCTTTTATGAAGTGCTTAGCATTTTAATTCCATGAGTCAAGGGTTTCTACAACTCCGGGGTTTTCCGCCGCGGCTCCCACTTTAGACGCCGCCGTCTCGCTGACATAGGACGGGGCCAATGTGTCAACGCATGTGCGACCTACAATAAGGCCCGTCCCATTTCCTAAAGAACCAGCAACAGACTATCCGGTCTCTTGCCATTATTTCAACTTATTCTAGAAGACTCAATAAGAGCAGGAATGTCAATAGTGGCAAGAGCCCTTTTGATGATATCGTTTAGAGAACCATGACGGAAAAGTCTACCTGAGCATATTCTGCAAAAAAGTTCATGGAGCCCATAGCAGCCAAAGTAAAGCTAGTCTGTTATATAAATTTAATAACAGTATAGGCACTCGTATACTTTAAATTTTCTTAGATAAATTTCGCTTGCTGATACAGTGTAAATAAATATTTATTAACAGCACTAAATTATTAACCCCTTTTTTCTTCCTTCTTATCAAAAAATACCAACGGTGCCCTCTACAAAGTGATAGTACTGACAACGTCAAGTTAGTCAGGCTTATTACCAAACTTAACTACATATGTACATAGATAGGCCAACTTGTGCTAATATCATATGCAAAACCATAATTCTTTTTAAATGTTTCTTTATTTTCTTAATAGATAACTAATATGTCATCTAATTATGTATAAATTTACTAACAACTAATAAGTATTACATTATGTTCGTCGCATGGAGCAATTGAAAACACACAAGCCATAACTTTAAAAATATTGGCCGATTAATGGAAAACTTGACGGTTCAATTTTTAAGATAGTCTGTTAGCAACACATTAAGAAAGTAATTGTAATCGATTTTCCCATATTCAATTTACGTATATTTATTTGTGTAATTAAATTATAATTGGTTCTAGTCCTCTTTTGATTTAATAATAATTTTAATGAACATATGTATTTTTCATTATGTTTAAGGGATGTTTGGGGTCCAATTAGAACCATCTTTGTATAATATGTACATATTTTATTCCATTTCTGTGATATGTAGGTACATATTTGGATTATATAATACACTAGCATTGCTCGCGGCTCCGCTCGCGTTCAGATGACCAAAAACCAAATTCTTAGGTTTTACATATTAGTATACGCTTACAATGCAGTTTTTGTATTTATCTCAGAAATGAGATATTTTCTCGCGGTAAAAAGTTGACCCGGATAACCAGCCATTACCATACCAAATTTCATCAAAATCCCTCCAGTATTTTTCTCGTGATGCGGTAACAGACAGACAGACAGACAGAAATTCTAAAAACTACAGATTCGGACTCTGTATCGATAATAAGGTCCATTTCAATAAGATTTTCCAAAAAACATTTAATGTACAGATTCGACTTAGTTACAATTTTATTATATGTATAGATATAGATAGATATAAGTCTCTACATTATATAACCATGACTCTTTTTTCACCAAGACTGATTTCATTTAGTAGAGTTAAAGATATAAGGACATTTTAACATGAGGAACTCTCTTCTCTGCGCGCTCCCATAAAAAGTGAAAATGATAATTGTTATTTGCTATTAGTTTCACTTAAAATTGATGGACAGGTTCCAAAGATATTGTTAATATAACAAATAAAAAAATTGATTAGTTAATTTTGATCCCATACAGTTTAAGCGCTCCACACACGGCGATTGCAATCACTACTATAAAACAAAGTTCCCCCACTGCGTCTGTCTGTTTGTCTTAACGCGATAAGCTCAAAAACGACTGAAAGGATTTTTATAGGGTTTTCAGAAATGAACGGAGTGATTCATGAGGAAGGTGTATAACTCATTAATCTTTTGTGTAAATTGGCAGAAATATGAAGATGATTGTTATGATGTCATAAAAAATAATTCCGACAAGGAGCTTTACTAGCGTGCGTCGTAAACCAATACACACACGTTTAACATAACAAAAAAGAAATCAAATCGGTCCAGCGGTTTTTGAGTTTTAGCAAGACTAACTTTTTGCCGTTCGGCAATTGATTTTTGTATATTATAGATATAACTAGCGCACCCGACAGACGTTGTCCTGTCTACACGTCTTTAATTTGAAAAATTCAAACTTTTTTTAATACTTTTTTTTTATGAAAATTATTATTCAAATTGTGAATCTAAACCATTCCCAGATCCCCTTGAACACACACAAAAAATTTCATCAAAATCGGTCCAGTCGTTTGAGAGAAGTTCAGTGACATACACACTCACAGAAGAATTATATATATAAAGATATAGATTTAGATATGCTAAATCCGTATACTTTTTACCTCAAACCATTTTTATTGCACTAATGTAGTAGTTGTATTATTTTCTTTCCTTCCTATAACTATGTGAAAACAATGTATTACGACTTACGAGACTATTCGTACCCAGGGAAGCACCTGAGCGAAGCAAGGGTAAGTCGCTAGTGGTATTAAGTAAGTTGTCCCTTCTAAAATTTGCACACCATTTCCAACAATTTCCTGGTATTCAATTGAGCTAAAATTTGATATACTTGTGTAATTTCAGTGACAAGAAAATAATAATGTACCATGTAGCCTATCTGATGATGAAGGTTGTTGAGGCTGGAACTCTCTGATGACATATGATCAGCTGAAATGGAGTGAGTATGTTTTGTAATTCTGAATACTTTCCATTACACATGATGACGAGGATCAGAAGATGGGGCCAAGATAGTAAAAGCTTGTTTTCAACCGACTCCAAAAAGGAGGAGACCTTACCTTAAGAACTCACCTCAGAACTCCGTCATTTATTAACCGATTTGGACAATTTTTGTGTTGTTTGAAAGTGTATACTTCCAGATTGGTCCCATTTAAATTTCAAAAAAAAAGCCCACCCCTAAGGGTGGAAAAATAGCTAATGATGAATTTAACCTATTTTTAATATGACAAATATTTACTTGAAACTTTGCAAGTGTTTCTATTTCCGTTGATAGTACAGTGGTTCGGTATTGTTGACCTGATCTGATGGTAAGGCCAGAAGGTGGATAGGTGGAACTCTTCAACGGCTAATAGTAGATACTTTGAGTTTGGGCTTATTTTGTTTGATTTGACAAGCCTAACACGTTAGAATTCTTACTTTGCTATTACTGTCTACACTAAAAAGGGAAAAATAAAAACTTTTTAACAAAAAAATAAAAACCGACTTCAAACAAAAGCACTAAAAAGTAAAAAATAACTGATTGGTAGGTTTCATTTACTATACATACCTAATCAAATATATTGTTTAATAATTTTCTTATTTACATGCATGAACTGATACATATTTTGTCTGCTATTTAATATACAGGTTAGCACTACATAAATAAATAATATATTATTTGTAGATACGTAAATAAATGTTATTATTTATAACAAAGAACAACGAGTGTATTCAGTAGGAGTTGTTCTGTTTCGTCACCGCCCACCATCCAACTCTTAATGAAATATCAGCAAAAAAATACGAATTGGTTAATTTCAAAGAAATTAAGCTTGAATTTTTAATGTTAAATGGTAAATTATCATTCCGTATATAGCATATAATTTATTGCAAAGTTTACTCAAGATATGTTTAATTTTTCTAATAAAAAGCATACCTTAAAGTTTTTAATTACTTTTTTTCATTTATTTCATTTATTTTAAAAAATAATCCACAATAAATTTAAAAAAATGGACTCAAGTTACTTACAATTTGCCAATAAAAATATAAACCTTTCTAATTGTATGAAACAATACTATATTCATACTAACATTATAAATTTTATTCTACTGTTAGAAACTGATTAATTGCCACATTTCAAAGTCACTTAGTCCAATTTATTTATCCTTATTATTTTTTAAATTTAAATTGTTGAGACTTATAACCCAGCCTAATTCTATATAGATTCTCAAAGAACATTTATTAGATATGCAATTTAATATTTATTAAAATACATAAAATAATTATAGAGTTTTGTAAAAAAAAATAATTTTAAAATACCTACTCTATAAAAACTTAGCAATCCGTTCTAATTATGAAAACTAATTGGATTTATTGTAAAAATATATATATATATCGTTAATGATGAAGATTAATAAGGTTAAATGTTGTTTAAAAAGATTGAAAAGGATAAATCTAGCTCTAAACTATTTATAAATATATATATATATATATATATATATATATATATATATATATATATATATATTATATGTACCATAGAAATAATAATAATTGTTGAGGCTCGAAATTAAATAATACAAATAAAAATAAACTGAAAATAAGTATATCTTTTACGCTCATTTAAAATATATTTTTTTCTATCTGATATTTTCTAAATATTAATTTATAAAGCATTATAAAAGTAATATAGATTTATAAACATTATTTTTTTATTTTGTAGTTGTAGTTTTTAATGTAAATATAATTCTTATAGACGAAAGAATATATATATATAATTAAAAAGAAAATCGGTTCACTGATGACTATGACATCGTGTAATAATAAAATTTCACCCCTAGGGTGAAATATAACCTTTTAAAGAGGTTTTTTAGTGTACCTTTCAACTTAAAAAGTAATTTAATCCTCCTGCTTTCCTTTAATCTAAGCTTTAACTTTATCCTCTATGCGTTATAACTGTATACTAATATAGGTAATTATTAATTAGGTATACAGTACAGTACTTCTAAGAAGATGATGCCAAAATCATTTTTTCCCCCGAATGAAATCCGTTGGAAGAGTAATTTTTTTTATATTTTTATTTTAGGTACTTACCTATAACAGAAAATATTACAAATACAAGCACATATTATTGAAAAATATTTTTTGTACCTACCAGAGTTTGTTAAGGTGTTATCGCCAAGGCCAGTAGATGTGTCGACGTCAGCGTGAGCATCCGCCCCGACGGCCACGACCAGCGCGCATGCCCACGCGCACACCGCAAATAACCGCCGCACGCTTATCGGTACTCTCCAGTCCCGTAACGCACCACGCTTAGCCATCGCACATCACAAACTAACTTCAGTAAAAGTGTATATTAAAAAAAAACACTAATTTGTGTGCTTTGGAAAATATTATAACATAGATTATCGTCTTAAAAAATCTATTTGCCAAGAAAATCTAACTAAAAACAATATTAATACTTAGCGAAGCTTGCTATCCTGAATATTTATACTCGTAAAACGAAAAGCACGATCTCGTTGATCGTCTATATTTTGTACTGAGTGACGACGATGTGGCAGCGTAGTCGCGACAGCACTGTCCACGGGTCCACATTGCGGCCACGACCGGCTCCTCCGGAGTCTCATCGTCTCACACCGGGGTGCTAGGAGGGCCGCTGCGCGCGCATCAACCTCGCTAACCAATAGCACTACAGGGGAGGGACCGCGCGTAAGACGCAACCAAGTATATGCGAAGGCCTATGTACAATGATGATAGCGGACAGGTGGTTTCGCGGCCGTAATTAGGAGTCTGATAACTTATTGCTAGCCAAATAAATATGCTTAAAACGGTAAATCTTTAAGATACTATCTAATATGTTTCTCTGAAAATATTTTAACTTTTTAACTTTGTTTGGTAAACTTTTTTCTTATACTTTTTGGAACTATACAAACTTTTTAATTCTTCATTGGAAAATTATTTACTATAATTAATTATTTTTTATCTACAAGTGTAATGTTTTAAACTGAAAAACTACTAGTTAACATTAGAATTGGTTTAGGTACGCAACGAAGAGGAACATTCATACAGGTACGCTATATGTATATGCAGCTCGTTTAATGTTTATTCAATACTAGCGGACCCGACAGACGTTGTCCTGTCTACACGTCTTTAATTTGAAAATTTCAAACTTTTTTTAATATTTTTTTTTTATGAAAATTATTATTCAAATTGTGAATCTAAACCATTCCCAGATCCCCTTGAACACACACAAAAAATTTCATCAAAATCGGTCCAGTCGTTTGAGAGAAGTTCAGTGACATACACACTCACAGAAGAATTATATATATAAAGATGTAATTCAATCAATAATAACATACAATATATCGGTATAACAAATAATTACTGCGCGGAAGAGAATAAAAAATACGTCAATTTCTTCAACACGCTGAAAATGCTGCATATCGTATTACTGATAAATATTCAGGCAGGGTCAAACTTTTTTTATAATTAAAGTCTATCTATAATTAAACTTTTATTATTTTTTTATTTTTATTATTTATTAAAGTATTATTATTATTTATTAAAGTCTATAATTAAACTTTTATAAGTTTAGTTTTTACTTTTTAAGTCCCTATAAGTTATTACGATTATTTGCACTATACCAAAGCATAAACAACCGTTAAAAATGTTGCCTGTTCCGTTTAAGTACTTATATGATAGGTATATCTAATAAACATACTATATCTCTCCCGTGATCATAATTGATGTAAAGCATTCGAAACCTCGGGGACCAAAAATCAAAATTAATCCGCGAAAAATCCAAAAAGATACTTATATTTAAAATGCTTCTAAATATATTAAATTATAAGTTTTTCAAGCACATACCTACTAACTATTACTAACTACCTATAAGAAAGCTTCAAATTAGTAAATACATTCTCGATTGAAGCTTTGGGTATCACCATTTCTCAATATATGTACCAAGCAAGAACTGAAGAACTTGTCAAGAATAAAAGAAAACTGAGTCTATAATAAGTACTTTTATATGTAAATAATTACTTACTTCTGGTGTTAAAAAATAAATTTTCTTTTTTCATAAAAATATCAAACTGAATGTCTGATTTCCAAACACGTGCTTGTTCTTGATTTTGAAGTTATACTTCTTTTGGCACGTTTGAAAAAAATTGAGAGTAAAATTTTTACGATGTGCGCGCACTCCGACAGCCAAAAATCGACATGATGAACTTAGCTGAAAGCGACATGATAACGTTAGCTGCATTCCTTTTACAAACAGAGAGTTGTGACGTACGAGATGAAATCTTTAGATATTTTTATACTGTTGCGCTAAAGAAGTATAACTTCTTACGTGCGTGCAAAAGTACTTACACACACAGGTTTTTTTTTAATTTTACTCTCATTACTTTTATCTTTAATACGGGTCTCCACCTAGTACAGGGGCCCTTGCGATTATCTTGAAATGTAATCTTTTAAGTCAATAAAAGTTTTTTTTTTTTTTATCTTATCAAAAGCAAGGATTACTCCTTTAAAACATGTGGTACTGTGGTATTCGGTACACTTGCACAATCATTTGCATAAATCTAGCTCTATCAAATTATAATGATATATCTATATAATAAACAAGGTAAAGCGTTAAGTTTCATTTAAAGAATCATATAAACACATTCAGATTTAATTACACTAGGTACCTAGATATAATTTATTTAATTGCAATACTGTCTTGATGCTCCGTAATGACTTAGTAACGTAAAGGGCTTTCATTGTTACGTCGAAATAAAACAATTTGAACTTGACTATACTATTCTTTATTGCACTTATATGTAAAATACAGAGAGTAACAAACAATAAAATTAGTTAGCAAAGGTGGACTTATCTCTAGAAGAGATCTCTTCCAGTCAACCTAAGTGAGTTAGAGAGATAGTATTAAAAAGCAGGCTAAAGTGCAGTTACTCAAATGTAAATACTTAAATAAACATATATTATATATACATATAATAAAACATTATACATATTATATACCGTAACATATGTACATACTACTACATACACAAATACATATCTATATAATATAATACATAATAACAATAGTTAATATAATGATTGTGGAATAACTTGGGTGAGAAGGTGCTGTTTTATTTTCTTTTTAAAGGCAGTTATATACTACTCTTAAATAGAAATTAAAACAAAAACAACAATAACTTATTCCTTGAGGCCATTTCAATGAGCCTAAACACGATATCTCTGCAATAAGAGTTGAGTGTCTTGCATATTCCAGGTGAAGCTGCAACATTAGGCCTAGGTTAGATTAGGGTCATTAAAATAACGGGATACCAAGTCTCGAATCGTTAAGATCTGTGGAAGTTGTTCATATTCTTTTCATATTCCGCCTCGAAAAGTTATGTAGCTAGCAAACAAACGGTTGAATGGGTTTTCTTGGTTTATTGCTAAGAACACTCAATCAAGTCCACTTTCATACAAAAAAAGATTAAAATTGCACTTGGCCGCTAAGATGCTACAGATAGATACACGTACAAAATACACAGTTACATACAAACACTCAGATACAAAAATCGAGGTAAATGCTTAAATTCTAAGAGAATTGTGATTTTTGACTTACCTTTTTCGCTGGAACTGTTACGATGTGTTTGATGTGATGGAAAAAATCTTTACATATTTCTATTACATAAATTGCAAACAATAGATATATAATGTTTCCTCAGATATAATAAGAAGTTCGAAATTTGTTGAGTGATTTAATTATCTATACAGATAAATAAAATTGATTATTGAAGTCTGTTTGTAATGTTAAAACAACACCTTTTTACTAAATGCATAAGAAATTATATACGGTACTTATAAGAAAAACTCAGTTCTCAAAATTTTTGTCTCTCTGTCTGTTTATTCCGACTACACTTCAAAACTGCTGGACTGATTGAATGTTATAAGGAGTAACTTAAGCTACTTTTATTTTAGAAAAAGAATTAGGATTCCGTTAAAAAAAATTTAAACGTACCTAGAGGCGAACCCGAACGAAGCGAGTGCGAGTCGTTAGTTATTATAAATAAAAACTAAAAAATATATGTGATTTTATCCAATTATCATTAAAGCCTAACGAGCGTGTGTCAAGCCAACTCATAATAATAACAACATCTTTAATCCATAAAAAAATTGAAATGAATTTAATCAAAATTTTATGTAGCGAACGTGGAAGTGGAAGTAGTTCTTTGTATACTTGAGTTTAAAACATTATTTGTCAACACGTTTACTATTTCTTGCCCTGTTAGTCTGTGCGTTTGTAAGTATCATAACATAAAGCCAATGTTACTCCTTTTCTCAGGTATAAATCGAAAAATATCGATCCTACGAGGAAAATCATAAGGACAAAAAATGTAGGAAATTTAATTTTAAACAACTTTGTTTAGTACAATTTTTCGCGTAACATTGAAAATAAACAAAAATCAACTCTTAAATTCAAGATGGCGGATGACGCAACGGGTCTGGTAGCCCGGGATCCTACATTTAGACTGCCAGTGCCAAACTCCCCTCCCTCATCCTCAAAGAATTCCGAAGGAAAATTGCCAGTAATTTTTTTGCAAACGAGCACTCTGCACTTGTTGTCACTTGTCTCTACACCACCAGCGGAAAGTGGTGTTTCTTGCTTTAAAAAAAACAATAAACAAATAGCTATTATATTTGATTTATATGCACATTAATAATATCGTAAAGTTTGAATCTATGTAATTTATACTAGCAACTTTAGAAGACTTTAGCATTTATAATATCACTTCTCGGCAGTGGTCCTATCACAGACCTCGTTTGGTAGAAATATAAAAAAATGTCGATTGCACAGCGCCACTTACCGGATCCCACTATAATTAAGAACAATCCAAGTAAATCTATATATACACATATACCATTAAAATTGATCAAACATCTCTTCACCACACCTAAATTTGGGGTATTTTTTAAAAGCTTACGTTCCACCCTATGCATGACAACCAGGAGATTGCTCTCAGGGACCTCTCTGCTATTAGAGAAATACTAAAACCGAGTTGAGCGACTTTCCGACTACTTTATCTACAGTCTATTAAGTTTAGTCCATGTCTATTAAGTTTATAGATAATATGATAGCGTTTATAAATTTACATATAGAATTATCGTATAGATAATATATATAGCTATAGCTCAAAAAGTATGGACATTAGAAAAAAAAGTTTTAAACAAAAGTTGTAGAGAATAAATGGATAGATGCATTATATTGATTAAACTATACCTTATTATTTGGGTCAACATTTAGGATACTTTTCATTGCAGGAAAATCTTTCATTCGCACGGGAAAACACAATAACTGGTTCTATCAAGTCGTCCTTAGAAATATATTTGGCTAACGCTGGCTAAACCTTAAAAGATATATCAAGACAATGCACTAGAAAATTGTAAAAGACCTACAAAAAAGTCCACAATAGCATATGTTATCTACTAAGGTACACTATTTAATATACAAAGTGCCCCAGCGCGAAGTGACCGCCCGGCGTCTCTTGATTATTTGGACAAAACTATCAACGAATACCATTAAAGTACAGCTCTTATCGGTTTGGTTGTTTTAACCGGTTATACAACGTAACCGAAAACTTAAGCCGAAAAGCCTTTCGGTTTGGTGTCAATGACCAAAACCGTTTAAAAAAATAACGGGTTCCCGAGCCCTGCACACGCACACTCAACATGCTGTAGTGCCATCTCGTGATAAGGTACATCAAAATGGATAAACAAAACCTACGGAACCAACGAATAGATATAGAAGATATTACACTTGAAAAATTTAGTGTAAATATATAAAATAGACCTACTATATATTATTAGTCGTCTGTCGGAGTACTATTGTAATAAAGCAAAAGTATTTTTATTTTATGTGTATACCTACATATTTGCTTCTTGACGCGAAACGGATGGACGGCTTTGGATGAAATTTTATACACAAAGATTGATGATGATGTTCTCCTGATCGATTCCGGCCACGGCGGCCAATCTCATTGAGACTAGCCAACTGCGCAGGAGATATTATAGTGCACAAGTGTACGCGCAGACACAACGTGCACTCTCTATTCCTGTCACTCTCATACTCCGGTGGGACGACTACTCGACACGACCGGTGAGAGATAAGGCGCAGGACCGACAGCTTTAGGTGCTCTCCGAGGCACGGGGGTGAAACACCGCCAACTTCCCAACTCCGGGCTGTTACTGAGGCTTACTATACAGAAAGACTCAATAACTAAACTTGGCCCGACCCGGGACTCGAACCCAGGACCTCCGGGTGTGCAGCCGTACATGCTAGCCACTACACCACCGAGGAAGTTACACAAAGATTATAAACTGGAACACTTAAGCCAATAGATAATAATACAATCATTTTTAGAAAATATTGTGGAGCAACAGAATACAGAAATACCTAATATTTCAGCAAGAATTATACAGTAGGTACTAGCAGAAATCGCGGCTTCGCTCGCGCTAAAACTACATACAAAAATCTGTAAAAAGGTAGGTTTCAAACAAACTTTCATCCCCTATTTTACCCCTTTATGGTATAAATTTCGAAAAAATGCTAAAACATTTATTTAATTGTATTGAAGAACATTAATAATAAGTTTCCAGTAATTCTGATCAAAAATATTTTTTTGAGTTGTATTATAACGTTTTCCCGTGGTAATGAGATAATCTCCCGGGTCCCGGGGTAAAAAGTAGCCTGTGCCACACTCCAGCCCTCCAACTATCTCGACACAAAAACGTCACGAAAATCCGTCACTCTATTTCTTTCTCTATTCTTTCTCTATTTCGATGTGAAAGAAATTCAAACAACAAACAAACACACTGTTAGTATGAATGGTATAGAGCTACCACTTATGCAATGTCACGAAAATGAAGTGCGCCATTTATTTTTCAAAGATTATGATAACGTTGACTTCAATTAATGTTTTTACTAAGTACCTAAACCTAGATGGCACATCTACCGAACGTTTGAAACCTCTTTAGTCTTAACACCTCCAGGTAAATTTCTAAGAAATTAATTAAATTTCTAGGAAATCTATTGTTAACTGTAACACCGGCGTGTTCGCGGTCGTAGAGGGATTAAGGTAGAATAATATAGATATTATATTTTTTACTAGCGACTCACCCTCGCTTCGCTCTGGTTAGTCCCTAAATTTTATTATGTAATAGTTTTTTTAATATTCTGGAATAGTTTTTTTTTTTTCAATTTTTTTCATGATTTTTTCCGATGTTTTAATAGTTATTCTGCTATTCGGGGTGAAGACAAATCCAACAAAACAAAGATCATAAAAATTGGTCCAGTCTTTCTCAAGTTATAACAAACCCGACTTTGTTTTATCTATACTAATATTATAAAGAGGTAAAGTTTGTGAGATTGTGAGTTTGTGACATTGTAGGGGGTAATCTCGGGATCTACTGAACCGATTTAGATGAAATTTGGTAAGAAGATAGTTTGAGACCCTGAGAAGGATATAGAATACTTTTTATCCCGGAAATCATCCCTTAAGGGGTTGAAAATTTGGATGAAAGTTTGTATGGGGAATCAAATCTAATCTATATAGTATATATATTATAATTTATATACTAGTACCTGTGCTACGGACCTTCGCTCGGAGTTTATGACCTAAAGTACAATTTTCTTTTTTTTTTAAACTAAAAACTTGGATAAATATTAAAAAAAAAACAAAAGCAAAAACTTTGAATGCGACCGAGATTCGAACCTGGATACCTGTGATTGTTGAATTTGCACCTTGGCCGCTTGACCACGATGCTTATGCTTAATCGTGCAAATTACCGACCATATTTTGCGTGAAATAATGCAAAAGAAAACAGTATAAAAACTCGAAAACACACGTTTTCTCAGACATAAGACTAATCTAGATCAATTTATCGCGTTTCGGATTTTTTGGGTTCGTTTAAAATTACAATAATATGTAATTTTTATGTATACCGTCACACCTCATGAATGGTCTCATTTAAAAGTTGTGTTCACATAATTTCTAAGGTTAAGTCTTCTCCTAAGGTTTGAGTAATTGTTTTTCAGGTTAATTTAATAATTTTTTGATTGAGAAGATATTGCCATTCAAATTCAAGAGCAATATACTTTGATAGTGTGACAGACTGAGACATACATGTTATCCTGTAAGGGTTCCATTTTTATGGTACATATGGAACACTAAAATGAAAATAAAAAATAACTAAACGGGGGTTTAAATTTAGAATAGATACCTAATCAGATATTTTCGAAGTCGGTGCCAGCCGACGCATAGGAAATGTAATATATTTTGATACGTAAAATACATATTTAGTATTTACCTATTAGATATTCATATCTTAAAATATTGTCCGCTGGCACCGACTTCGAAAATATCTGATTAGGTATCTATACTAAATGAAAACTCCCGTTTAGTAATTTTTTACATTTTAGTGCCTGGAAGTCGTTTTTTTTTTAAGTTTTTATTTTTATATTTTTAGTGTAGACGTAATAAGCAGGTAATTTGTAGGAAGAAAGTTTTTAATAACATATTCGATTAAACAATTTGTTTAAAAAATATATTTACTGTTGATTTTTTTAAAACCGCTTGACCGAGTTCGATAAAATTTATATGAAACCACCTGGGAAGTATACCCTTTCAAACAAAACAAAAATTTTCCAAATCGGTTCAGGCGCCTTCGAGTAATCGGTGAACATACATAAAAAAAAAGATTCCGGCGACTTGAGAACCTCCTCGTTTTTGGAAGTCGGTTAAAAAAACAAAGAAGTTTCACTAAATTTAAGAGTTTTCAAATATAAGACAAAGGGTTTACAATAGGTACCTGGGATGTTATTACTAATGATAACTAATTTACTTCTGAACACACTTTAATACTGTTTAGCATACTTCACATTTATTTAAAACTAGCGACTTGCGTCCCTATTAATCCCTATTTCTAAAATAAAAGTAGCCTAAGTTACTCCTTATAACATCAGCTATCTGCCAGAGAAAGTACCGTCAAAATCGATCCAGCGGGTTCAAAGATTGGTCAGAATAAACAAACAGATAGACGGACAGACAAAAATTGTAAAATTTGTGTTTTTCTTATTAGGACCGTATATGCATACTTTCATATATATGCATTTATATTAATTTAAGATATATATCTTATCTATGTAGATAGAAATTAATCTATATAGATTAACTTTTCTAAAATCCTATCTATCGAGAAAATAAATGTAAATATAATAAAAATTATGTAGCAAATTCTTTTATAAATATTTATTATTATTTACCTGAGAGAAACCAGTATATTTATATCTATGATGACAATCGAATTCTAATTTAGTATAATAATCAAGATATATTTAAACTAACAAAATTTGCTATCCTTTTCAACTTGCAAAGTGGTTTTATTATAAAAAACAGTAGTTTTCAAGATCAGTTTTTATTACAAAAACTTCTATAAAGTAATTGGATATTTAGTCACAGTAAAATTAACATTAAAAATTATACTATTATTATAAATTATCCTCCTTTTTTCCACTTTTCACCAGGTGTATATTCAGTCATAGGCTTGCCAGATATACCACATGTACCTATTCCAACTCGGCCAGTTAAATTATCAGGGGAAGCAAATATACTTTTGTTTCTGACTCCAGGTTTTCTAGATGCTTTTGTATGAAATGAGAGCCATTTATTTTTTTCTGATTCTCTTTCTTCTTCAATCTGCTTAAATCTTTGTTGCTTTTTCTGTTTTTTCTTTTTCAAATACTCCCTATTATAGCCTTTGCCAGGTCTGGAAAAGATATTTTATAAGCTCAATGAATTTTTATAGAATAGAGTACTAAATATTATAATAAAACTAAAATGTTTTTTAACAATGTGTTTAGATTACACAAAAGTAAATTAGAAGTAGTTTTGAAATTTTTTAAATGCTTTAAAAAAATGCCTTGCTTCAATTTTAATTCAAGTCTTTTTACAAAAGCCAATTATTCAAATAAGCTATGGAAAAGTTACATAAAATTACAAATTGACAATTATTTTTAAAATATTTTTATTAATTAATACACAATAAATTCAACAAACACTCACTTGCTTTCATCTCCACTGGATGGTCTTTTTGTCCCTGAACTCAAAGATTTGACATCCAAAATTGTAACCGTTTCTAAAGAAGAATATCCATCAAATTTTACTTTGAGACTATTTTCTCCAATCTCTTCAATAGTTGCATCATAAAACCTGAAAGCAATATGCTTATAATAATATCGCCTCTAGGAATACAAAATCAAACCTATCTCACGGGAACTGTACATTTTTCTGGGATAAAAAGTAGCCTATATATTTTTCAGACTATAATCTACCAAATTTCATCCAGATCCGTTCAGCTATTCTGGTGTGAAAGAGTAACAAACATCCATACTCGCAAACTTTCACATTTATAATATTTATTACTAGATACATTTTAACAGTTAGTATAAATAGATTATATATTATATAGCGACCCTCACTTCGCTTGGATGCACCCTGGGTATGTTTTTTAAGCGGAACCCTAATAATTTTTCTAGAATAAAAGTACCCTATGTTACTCCCTATAACATCAGCTATCTTTCAGTGAAAGTCCCGTCAAAATCAGTCCAGCCGTTTCAGAGAATATCCGGAACAAACAAACAGACAGACAAAAATTTTAAAAAAAATTGTTTTTCTTAAAAGTACCAATATGGTATGGTATGGTATAAATGGGCTTGTTTCCGCAACTCGACGTCTGCACGCCTATTTTGCCTGTGTTAGTACCATATATAATTTCATATGCATTTAGTAAAACACTGTTATTTTGATATTACAAACGGACACTTCAATTTTATTTATCTGTATATACAGATATACAGATTTCTGTTACAACCCTTTAGTTTAAATTTACCAAGTTACCCATTTCAATTGTTTATTTCATAAACAGTGAATCACTTTGCATTTGAAAAATATGTATGTATAATTTTATTTTCAGTGTTAAAAATAAAAAAATACAGTAAAATAAATAGACATACATGCCATCTGCCTTCCATTTAGCTGAACATTTCTCGCCAATCCGCCACTTGGGTAGAGACTCGCCAACAACTCCGTCGTCCGTGGTCGGCAGCGAAGCTGTAACATCATCATCATTACTAGAACTATGAATATTACTTTTGGAATCACCCTCTTGAGATTTTATTAGATCGCGTGTCAATTCTATTACTTCTTCCAAATCTGCTTTAAGTTTTAATAATTCCTCATTTTGGGGATCAGTCAGCAACGCCGCTTCAACCTTTAATCGGAATTAAGATAAAATATTATATTACATATAATATTATCACTCAACACAACATAAATCATTAAAAGCCAATTTACCTGCTGCAATTGTAATTTGTAATTTCTTAAATCATCAGCCATGTTGAACTAATGTTTGTATTTTATTACATTTATTATAAATATTACTAATGTATAATGTAGGAACTTTAACTACTTTTTTACGAAAAAAATATGTTTTTAAAATAGATGTATTGTCACTTATTCGTTTTTTTATAATTATTTTTTAACACAACCACAACCATAACATTGCTGTCACATCACACCAGGGTTGGATCCAGAGCCTCAAAAAAATATTGTACATAGAGAATAAAATTATACTACTTGTCCAAAATTATACTACGTTTGACGTTTCATGTTTTTCACGTTTCGTTTTACGGCGTTTTTGTATTGAATTGAAATAAACTTGCATAAGTATTAAAATTGAAAGAGAAAAAAAAACAATGGAAAAGAATTTGTTAAACAAATCTACTTTCAATATACAATTTTGATGATGAATATAATTTTTTCTCGTGTTTTTTCCCTCAGAATGAGTCGATAAAACAAGCTTTGCGGCCATCATTGAAACATTACATACTTTACATCGTGATTTGAAATTATCTTGAGGATCACGAGTAAGCCACTTACTAAATTTTGGATCACTCTCCCATTCGACTCCGTATTTTTGTTGTCTATGTTTTTTCTTCACTTTTAAATCGCCTCTTTCAACGCGTTTCTTCTTTGGCGTCGAAACACCACACTCTTGTTCGCCCTCACTTTCATTCATGATTACAAAATAGTTTATTCTCAAAATTGTCAAAGCGTAAGAAACAATAATGTACACACGTCACACACTACAATTTGTACTAGTTTAAAAGTTAAAACTTTATACTAATGTATCTATACTGCAACAATTCACTGTCAAGTTTTATACTTAATCAAAATATTGCTATGAACATCATATCGTCTCTCTCACGGTTATTTATAAATCCTTCTTGTCAGAACGGATGGAATAGTAAAATATCACATGGGGAATCCCCGCCAACCTTGTCATTGCCTGATTTGGTGTTGCCGTACGTTCAGAAATTCCTAAGATTGTAGAGTTAATATTAAAAAGTAAAAGTACTCACCAATAATACAAGTCGGTCGACCTAAAGATAAAATTATGGTATTTTTACGTAGAATAGTGGCAATACGATACTACATACTACACGCTATGAAATAATGGTACAAATAGTATAATTATACTACGAAATCCAACACTGCATCACACCCACACGACACAGATTATTAACATAGACCAAGGTCCAAGAACAAGTTTTTATATGTAGCAATATACTCTATGACAATAAGCTAATCTTAGAATCAGTTTGCGTATTGTCTTTGACTTAATTATTTATATTTAATCTATGGTAAATAACACAGAATATTGATAGAGATTAGAGACTGATAGTCCTACCAGTGATGAGACTATTAATTAAGCATGGAAATGATTGCTACTTTTAAATCATTATCATGTGATAAAATTACGTATATTTTTCACGTGATTTCACCTGCTACTTTTCACGCATAGATTTTTGATTTCGACGGTCTGGTGTCACACTTTATCTTATTTGCTATTAAAACGAAGTATGAAATGTCACCAATAGCGCTACTGATATGATATGGAGCAGAGATATAGATCTGACGTAGTTGCATACGTACATGGTGCTATGAATGAACCTATTTTCAAACAATGAACTTTCCCTCATACTTCTACAGGCTTGGGATTGACAATGTAAAATTAAATCAATTTTAAATATATCATAGTAATCACACGGTAAAATTGTATTAAGCTAAGTTCCATAATTACACTGACGTATTTAAAAGTTCATTGTTTTTATGTACAATAAGAATTTTTATATAAGAAATTATACACTTTTTTGTTTTTCTTAATTTTTTTAATTGTTTATAATCATTTTTTTTTTTTGCTTTTTGATTTTTTTGATGATAGATTTTTTTAATGAGATATCTATATACAATACTCTTCATTGCTTTTTAAAAATACAAGTTCCGCTGTTCGTTTTCTGCTTAATCGTGCTCTTTTTTGGGTTGCAAAATTTCCCGCTTTTGAAAATACTTTCTCACACTCCACTGATGTCACCACGATGTGACAGTGCTCATGAAATATTTCCGCCCAATTGGGGTACATATAGGAGTGAGATTTCCACCAAACTAATGGCGAAGAATCGCGCGGAAGCACTGGTTCATTAATAAACATTTCTAGCTCGTTCTCAGCGTTGGTGGTTATGTCGTCGACTGTAGGCGTAATTGCAGCAATGGTTTTGTCTATTTTGCCCCATATAGATATTGTTTCAATATCTTGAGAGGTTGAGGCAGCTCTTGGTGGAATATATGAGATCGTTTCAACAGCCGGAGTACCACGTTTTTTTCTAATTTTTATTTTCAATAGGTCCAAGATGTGCTCCTTAATTAAATTAACACGCGTTGTGCGCTGACTCGTCGTCTCTAAAGTAGGCTCCACTTCAGCAGATGCATTATCAAGGAATGCATGAATCTTAAACCGGGGATCCAGAAATGTGCATAAACCTAGTAGCATATTATCTTCTATAACATGTCGAGGGAAGTAAATTTCTAATCCTTCCTCTAATTTAAGAAGAAAGTTTTTCGCTACACCATAAATTGGTTTAGTTTTCATTATTGACATTACGTTTTTTAAGTCATCTACAATAACTATAGCAAGACTTTCAGTAAGGTAGTGGGTGCCACTCATGATTTGTGTAATTTCCTCAAATGGCTTCAAAATTATGTACACTTGTCTTAGTGCTTCCCACATTTCAACTGTTATAATGCATATATTATATTTTAAAATCAATTGCGCGAATGATTTATTAAATCATAATCTGTACGTATTACACATAATCATTCAGTAAAAATTATAAGTATTTGTTGGATAAAAAACTAAAAATGTGCTCTAAATTTAATTGTTGTTTCTAATTTAAAATTATTTCTAAACAATATTTCTAAGAATCCGAAATCATGCAACTCGAAATAAATAAACTCCCCAATTTACTGATCAACGGTATTAACTGAAAATTGTATTTTGTTGAATAAAAAATCAATAAAAACATCAGTACGAAAATGTATACGGAAAATGCGAGTAACGAAATGCATTCGTGAGTAACGTTTCGGTACTCGGTACTAGATGGCGTACCCGTTACTCAGTAACGAATACATACGGTTTGCTACAGCTCTAGATTTCACCAAGTTGTGATTTGTAGCAGGCACTGTAAATTTAAGTAGCAGGTGTGACGCAAATAACGCATTTCACGTGATTTTTCACTTGCTACTCGTGAAATGTTCCATGCCTACTATTAATACTACTAAATCTTCACTAATAGTACACTGTTCAGTGCAATTAGTCCAACAAACGGCCTAACCTCAACATCCAAAGTAAAAATTTACCTCCAACTACAAATTTTTCTTTAAACAAAACACAATTCTGTAATAAAAAAATAGTTTATAGTAATATTGTCATATTTTTCCCAAAAAATCAAAAAAATACGAAAAATTGCTACTTTTACACCCTCCGTAACTCGGGAACCGTTTACTTTAGCAAGATAATCTTCGATTGCACGGAACTATTTTTATTCGAAATTTAATATAGATTGTTTTGGTATAAGTCACTTTTTATGATAAACCGAATAGTTTTTGAAATATTTAAGAAAAACTGACAAATATTTCTAATTTACCAATGTCTTTCTGTGCAGTTTTTGTCTTTTGGAAATAAATGATATCCATTTTCTTTGCATCCTGGCACTGCACAATTTGTCATTTTATTGAAATCTATACTAATATTAGAAAGAGGTAAAGTTTGATATTGTGAGTTTGTGGTGTTGTAGGGAGTAATCGCTGGATCTACTGAACCAATTTTCAAAATTCTTTTACCAATAGAAAGCCACGTTCTTTTTGAGTGTCAAAGGCTATATATTAACCCAAAAAATGAAAAGACTTTTTCATGGTAGTCTAATTTGTAAAGTCGGAGAAAAAACGGTCGAACTTAAACATTTCTTACGAACGCTGCCATAACGATGAAAGATATGCTAAAAGTATACGTCATAAGCTAATAGCTATAGCTAGCGTGCGCTAGCAAGTATGAACTGTAAGCACGGGTATGAACAGTCTCGAAATGTCAAGGGCGACGCTATCAGTCACGAAAAGTCAATCGCGCTGACTGTCTCTCTCGTCGGTATTTATTAGAATTTATGTAATCATGGGGAAATGTGCAGTTTCAAGCTGTAAAAATAATTCACGAAAGCAAACTAAAACGAACAAAGATATTTCTTATCACCAGTAAATAATATTTTAATCAGAAAACGTTAATTTTAACAAAATTACACAGGCGTGAGCGGGTGTTGCGGGAGGCGCGCGGGCCGGTCGACAAAACACGTGCTTTCGCGCCCCCCGCTTCTCACTTTCCTTCATTAAGAGCTAGTGACACACAAGATCAATATTGCAGAATAATTCATATGATGATATCGATTTATATTTATTGAAACGATAATATTAATTTATTTACCCTATCCTTTGGCAAAAAACATTACATAATAAAGCCAACCCTTCTTTGGATATTTAAATAAAATGCAAAAGTACACAGGAAAATTACGCTGAGATAGGGCAACATCTCTACTGAAAAATTCCAATAGGATCTCATAAAAAGCGACAAAAGCCACATATAGCCTCCGATGAATATTTATTGGTTTTTATGTCTTTTATTGGTTTCTATGTGGCTTTTGTCGCCTTTGATGAGATCCTATTAGCGTTTTTCAATAGGGATATGCTTCGATCGCATCTCTTAATATAGCCGATTTAAAATGTCTTTTGGCTTTGTAATTTAAGTAATCCTGGCAATGTATATGACAAAAAAGTACTAAACAATTTACCTTTGGTTAAATTATTTTAATAAAAAAATAAAAGCTTAATTAATTTTTATAAGAAATTAAAATAAGATTAATACATATTGATTGAATAAATTATTATGTAGGTAATACAAAAATTGTTTCCTTATTTTAATAACTATTAGTAATTACGCGTTAAGTTATTGCATTAACTGGTTTTCTATCACTTATTCTCATTATAGTATTGCAAATAATATTTTTTAATAAGTTTAAATTTAAATATCAGTCAAAGCGCAATAAAGCCTTAAAATTAATTGTATATAATATAGTCTACAATCGAAATTTACAAATATGCATCCTACACATTATTGTATACTTCAGAAGTCAATATGATTAACAATAAAATCAAACAGATGAAAGACAGTCTAAAATTTTCATCTCAATTTTCTTGAAATCTTGTATAAATATTTGTTATTATCAAATATCTAAAATTACAAAATTATATAACATATAATTAACAATTCAAATAATTTCTCATCCCTATAGTCCCCAGTAAAAAGGGTTTAAAAATTTAAGGCTAAGTATAAAATATACTTTTATAGAAAGTTGATGTCTAATATTTTCAAATAAAAAGATATTACGTCCGTACAAGACTGTAGTTAAGAATATTTATTTACAGTGTCTGTTTTGTTCCTTTTCAAAAGACGCCTTTACTTAAAGGTTTAAATTTTATATATGCTTAAAATTTTATCCTTCACCTTTTAAATTTTAACAAATTTTTAACACATCCTAGTATTTAACCTTCAATTGAGAAAAAGTCCTTTTTTTATTACACTGATGTGTCACTGCATAATTAATTATAAATAATATTTTATGAATAGAACTATTTTTTCGGATTTTTTCGCTGATTTATTTTGATATTAGGTCGACGTTCTCCTGTAACCATAATTGCTGTAAAGCATTCGAAACGTCGAGAGCCAAACATTAAAATAAAACCTTGAAAAAAATCCGAAACGATAATTTTATTTAAAATGTCAAATATTCGCGTAAATCTAGGAAAGTATTAATATTTTATGGTATGGTAATGATAAATATTAAAATTATATTATATAAAATGCATTTAAAATAAAACTATTTGTTTGGATTTCTTCGCGGATTTATTTTAATTTTTGGTTACCGACGTTTCAAATGCTTTACAGCAATCATGGTCACGGCAGAGACTAAAGTTTAAGACTATTCAAAGGTCAAAGGTTATATACTTGTTACTGTCAGTCAGCATTCGAAACGTCGGAAAAATACCCGCGCAAAAATCCAAAAAGATAGTTTTATTTGAAATATCAAATATTCGCGTAAATCTAAGAAAGTATTATTAAAAAATGCAATTTTTAATCTCATAATATTAAGTATCTACACTGACAAGGTGACTCTGGAGAGCTGTGGACTGATGGTATCTTCTTCGAGAGGCAAAGTCTTCGTTTTCATCATTTAAGCGCTCTTGCTCCACAGGTATGTCCGCGTGCACGGGCGTCACAACCAATTGCTCGTATTCTAACGGACGTTTTCTGTGAATACGATATTATCTGTATACATATTATAAATATGAAAGTTTGTGAGTATGTATGGATGTGTGTTACTCTTTTACGCCAGAACGACTGAACGGGTCCGGATGAAATTCGGCATAGAAATAGATTATAGTCTGGAATAACACAAAGGCTACATTTTATCCCGGAAAAATATACAGTTCCCGAGGGATAGATTTGTTTTTGTTTTTATAGAGGCGAACCCGAGCAAAGCGAGGGTGAACTGCTAGTATTAAATAAGATGACTACTTGTGTGAGTGAGACACTAGTATCACTCATACTAGTGTAAACTGTAATGCAATAAAATAAGAACATAGATATTTAAATATTTATTTTAAAACGCTCACGCAGAAATGTTATCATGACTATTTATTCAGCCTTTTGTCACATTCTTTCAAAAAGTTGCTAATAATTCTCAGACATACAGATCTCCTCACGATGTTTTCCTTCGCCGTAATATAAGTGTTAATCATGTTGGAAATGATTCGCACATGAAAATATCAGAGAGACCCGGTATTTGAACACGCTTCGCTCGAAATCCCAATCGATCACCACTGGACTACCACTGCTTTATTATTATCACGAATATGTGCTAACATTGAAAATGTTATTCATATTTATTTATATGAAAACTTACCCAATAGCTTGAAGGAAGGCTATTTTCATCCAATGGAAGAACCTGAATTCGGAAGCTCGGCCGGGCTTGACGGCCGGGTTGGCCGCGCCTATGTACATCCATATCAGCCAGAGGATGGACAAGCATCCCAGAGCATACATCCAATGCACCAACACCATTAACAATAGCTTAATCGCTACCTGAAAAATTATATTTTCTGTTTTTGACTTCAAAAACGTTTGTATTACTAATGTACATGTATGTTTTCTTGCGAATTGTGAACTGATTTTGATGGTATACCGGCATTTTTTTAAATATTTTTTTATAAAAGGTTGTGGTCACAGCCACCCGAAAATCGGCTAAGTGCGTAGCGCACAGACTTGTTCATAATCGTTATATTATATTCCTACAAAGATACTTTACTCAGAATATAAAACAATCTCTCTGCGATAGCTATGCTGTCGGGACAGTCACCAGTATTTGTATAAACGTATTTTTCTATATTTTTATAACATTGAATATAACATCATCGTGCCCATAACGATGGATCCGCGCTCGTTTAAAGGAAAAGTAAAGGGCGTGGGTTCGAATCCCACTTCTGACACCATGTTACGTTTGTTATTGAAATAAAAAACGGCTGATGACTTTGGATGTATTTTTTATTTGCTTGTGGACACGACATATAATGTTACCAATCTGACAGCTAAGCGGGAGCAGGAAGTACGACAGTTGACAAGAATATAATAGACTATAAATGATATTTTTACTCTATGTAACAATAATCACTTATAAATTGATTTTTTATGTACTTTTTTGGCTAAAATATTATTGCTATTAAAAATAAGCAACACTAAAATTAGGTTCTGGATCTTACATCCAGCAATAAAAGTCTCAGTAAAATCTGTTAACTGTTCGAGAGATTGTATTCAGCCCTTTTTAACCTTTCCATTATTAAAAACACGAGCCTTCCTTCAATGCGAGTGGGATACGGAGATTAGCGTGTAATAACGAAAAGACTGCATTTACGCACGAGGTGTGGGACTCACCGGCAAAGCCAGTACTACCCACTAAAACCCAAAAAAGCCTTCCCCCGTCTTAATGGGGCGTCGCAGGATCACTTACGCATACAACTACGACGCCCCGACGGCAGGTCTGCCGAAGCAGACCACAACAACCACGGGGTTGCTCCACGGTCCACTCTGCTATCAGAGAAGTACCAGGAGCAACCCGCATGGTACACCGCCCTCCGAAGAGGGCCACCTCCCACCGCCCACCGAAGTGGGCAACCTCCCTGTGCGTTTCTTGGCTTCGCGCCCGGTTGGATTGCCGGGCACTACTGAGCCCCCCCACCACGACAAGGTGAACGCACGCATCAGTTGATATAATTCGAGATAGCAAATTTTTCCTAACAATATTGCCCCAGTTATATTTCGTCAGAAATATGTTAATTTCAATTTTTATAATACTTTATATTATACTTACACCTATCAAGGATAACCATCTATTGCAAAGGTGTGAATACCAATTTTTGTTTTTAGAGTGCACATTGACACTTGGCCGTCGCTCTACGTCATTTGCCATACGTCCGTTCATTATAGCGGAATCAGTTGGAGACGGAGTGAAATCCTGAAACAAAATTATTCATATGAAAAAATCGATATATCACGTAAGTATAAAAATCGCTTCACGGTAGATATTTCTCATTTATTTATTCAGTTTTTTAACCGAATTCTTCAAAATGGAGGAGGTTCTCAATTCGTCAAAATCTTTTTTTTTTGTTATGTTGCCCGATTACTCAACTAAGAAATAAACAATGAATTATTTTTTAAATAAATAGATTACTCGAATATATAACATATTCGACATAAAAAACTTTCTACTTACAAATCACCTGCTTAATACGCCTACACTAAAAATGGAAAAATAAAAACTTAAAAAAAATACTTACTTTTTTAAGTTTTTAAAAAGATACTTTCAATGTCGGAGACGAATACAAATCTATTTTAAATGAAAACGCCTCGTTTAGTTATTTTTTACTTTTTATTGCCAGGAAGTGTTTTTTTAAGTTTTTATTGTCTACTAGCATTGCCCGCGGCTCCGCCCGCGTTCATATGACCAAAAACCAAATTCTTAGGTTTTACATATATGTATACTCTTAAATTGCAGATTTTGTATTTTTTCTCAGAAATGAGATATTTTCCCGCGATAAAATGTATTCTATATGTTGACCCGGATAACCAGCTATCACCATACCGAATTTCAACAAAATCCCTAAAGTGGTTTTTTTGTGATGCGGTAACAGACAGACAGACAGGAATTCTAAAAACTATAGATTCGGCCTCTGTATCGATAATAATGTTTATTTCAATAAGATTTTCCAAAAAATATTTAATGTACAGATTCGGCTTAGTTACAATTTTATTATATGTATAGATATGTGGCGCGAGTAATTTAGCGTTTTGAATGTTGCATATAATATGAAAAATTCAAAACGAATTAATATATATATATATATATATATATATATATATATATATATATATATATATATATATAGACTAGTAAGTAATAAAATATTTACTCCAACAGTTTTATGTCTTATCCTCTCTGGAAACAACAGATCCAAGTCGCTTCCAGTGGCCCCATACACTTGTGTGTCCCTTTGTGAATGTCCCTGAAATCTAAATTACAAAATATTACTAATATATGTTTATCATACGAGATACTATCTCGTACAATTAAGCAAATAATTTATTGTTATTGTCATGATTGTATTATTTAATCTAAGATGGATGACCATAAAATAACAAAATAAAATCGTACCTCATTTCTCTTTTATGTTGCAAATCAAATGTTTGTGCGAGAGCAAAATAAGAGTAATCAATACTAGCGTATGTGATAAGAAAAGGCATAGTAACTATTGGTGCAAGCTTGTTTATGTCTCCGATGATGATGAATGTGACCGTCACTACTGCTACTACAACCATTGAATAAATAGGCACTTTGTTTGGACCTCTCTGTGAAATAAAACAATAATATAAAAATATATGAAACCATTAAGACAAGTCATACTTATATAGAAACTGAAATTTCGTAGTAAAGTAAAGTAAAAAAGTTAAAGTATAGTACCTGGGCGACCGAGTTTCGCTCGGAGTTCTTTATTTTATCGTGTAAAAAAAAATTTAATAAATACAAAAAAAAACAAAAGTGAAAACTTTCTATCCAACCGGGATTCGAACCCGAACGAACACTTGTGATTGTCAAAGAATTAAAATTAGAGACCACATTTTGCGTGGAATAATGCGAAAGAAAACCACATGAAAACTCGAAAACACGCGTTTTCCCAGACATAAGACTAATCTAGATTGATTTTACGCCCCCGAAAAACCCCACATACCAAATTTCAGCGAAATCATTAGAACCATTTCCGAGATCGCCGGTATAAATAAATATACAAGAATTGCTCGTTTAAATATATTAGATTTAGAATGATTAATATTTCACACTATTTCAAAATAATGGTTAATGTACTTTTTGTTTACAGGTTACAGAAAGAGTAAAGATCAGTATAACATGATTATTACTATTTTAAAGAAAATAAAACATTAACAAAATAATCATATATCTATTAATTATATGGAAATTTAAGTACATAAAATTAATGTAGACAGCCGTTCCATGCTTAGTAAAAGACCAGCTTTAAAAAACATGATACAATATGATATGATAACTATACAATATATTATGACTATATTTTAACTTACTCCATGCCCAAGTGCTTCGAGGCCAGGTATAACTTTCTCATTTGCAATACTTTGTAAGACCCTTGGAGTCCCATACATAGCACCAAGACAAGAACTCATAGAAGAGACGTATAGGCCAGCAAGAAGCAAAATTTTCAATGCAGAAATATCAGCAGTTATAGAAAAATTTGTCAAAAGGGCTTCTCTTGTGACTGTTGCAGCTAACGTAATAATGAATATTAAATACAGGAAAGTTCTGAAAATAAACTTTCTCCATTAACACCCTACATTCAAACAATATTTAAAATAAATAATATAATCTTTAAAAAACAGTTAATTTATAGGTAATGCGCCATCCCACGTGGTACATTTGTATTTGTGTTGTGCCAGCTTTAAATTCTATAATAGGCTGTTATACAGTACACTGTTATTTTAATATTTATCAATTCCTGAAATTTTAACAAATGTCAATCCAGTACACAATCTTTATTTGTCTTAATACTGTTGATTACATTATTAAAATATTATCCAGTGTTTGGACCAATAGCAATATTGCATTATATTATGTTGTTATGCTTATTTTTATTGAAATTGTTATTATGTTAGTTTATTGTTTGAACCGACGCTTATAACGTGATTGTTAATCACTGTGATACATTTTATACTAACTAGCATTGCCCGCGGCTCCGCCCGCGTTCAGATGACCAAAAACTAAATTCTTAGGTGTTACATATTAGTATACTCTTACATTGCAGTTTTTGTATTTTTCCTCAGAAATAAGATATTTTCCCGCGGTAAAAAGTATCCTAGGATCGCGCGCTACATCGCCCGGTTTATATAGCTTGAGCAGGCGGTCGAGCGATGCGGGGCAGAGGGGATGGACTCGCCGTAGGCATCTCAATGCTCGCCAAGCATTAAAAATGTTTCGCTACTAATTACTTCTAACAACGATATCTCAAAAACTATTCATCTGATTGATTTAGTGTAAAGAGCAATTTTAATCTGCATTAAATGACTAAGCTAACTAAAATATTCATTTGGATAAGGATTAATACCGAACTAAAGAAAATAACTTTGAAAATAACGTAATGTTTTTAATTAAAAATGTTAACATAAAAGTGGTTATTGTAAGTCAACCGTAAGAGATAGAGATATGCTATCGCGGACTTTTTTGTAGCATTTTTATAGATTTTGAATTCTCTAGTACATTACTTAACTGTATCTTTGCTAGTTTACGCGGCGTTCGCGTGGAAAGTTCCCATTTGGCGAGATTTTTTGCGACCTCTTCAACATTTGTCGCCGTATTTCAGCTAATTTACATAAAAGCATAATAAATTATATACCTAAACCTTCCTCAAGAATTACTCTTTCTATTGTTGAAAACCGTATAAAAATCCGTTCAGTAGTTTTCGAGTTTATCGCGTACAGACAGACAGGAGGACAGACAGGAGGACAGAAAGACGCGGCCGGGGGACTTATTTTTATAATAAGTATAGATAGATGTAATAGTTATTGCTTTTGAAAAATTTTAAGTAAATAAATATTTTGGGCCATTAAACCATCTGGTTCCATGGTAAGCAACGAGGCTTGTGTTAAGGATACCAGATAGTTGATACACACCCATGACTGAAGTACAGACATTTGTCTCATCACACAAATGAACGCCCCCAGCAGGCCTCGAAACCGATAGCTGGCGCAGCAAGTAGGGTCACTACAGACTGAGTCAAACATGTAATTTTTTTTCTTTATTCTTTTTTAACAGTTTTTTGGCAGAGAATTGAATGTTGAATATGTCCTTGCTATCAACTTTGGCCAGTGTATTTGATTATAAAAGAAATTATTATCTAAGACAGACATAATGATATTAATCGATTTCCTTGGAAGCAAATGTTTGTCAGCATTTCATTAAAATGCAATAAAAGGCTTATCTTATCTTGAAATGAAAATATATAAGTAATATATTCACTTAGAATTTAGTTTTTATTATCTGAACTATTAAATATTTATCGTTTAATCATTTATCTTACCCAGTACTTATAGCTGCTAGTGATCCATTTGGAATATTAGCAGAGGGGTTCTTTAAGTCTCCACTCATGTTTATTCCTGCCAAAATGCCAGTGATTGTTGGGAAAAATACCCCAAAACATTTGAACCAAGTGTAATTATCTTGATAATTTGCCCAAGTATTATTTGCCATTGTACCACCAAACCATCCTTTGAAATTGGCATCTGCAAAATATAAATTTAATTAGAAAATATATTTTCATAATAGACTTATAACATGTTATATATTTTAAGATAGTAGTAATAATGTCTAATACAAATAATCAAATTATGACTAAGCCGAATCTGTCCATAAAATCTTTTTTGGAAAATCTTATTGAAATTTATTATACTTTACTACTGATAGAGGCTGAATCTAGTTTTTAGAATTTTTGTCTGTTTGTCTATCTTGGAACGCATCGCGGGAAACCCACTGGACAGATTTTGATGAAATTTGGTAATTTAAATTATTAATTAAAACATAACGTAACTAGGGACGAACCCGAGCGGAGCCAGGGTGAGTCGCTAGTAGTAATATATGATGCTTAATTGACTAATGTATAGATCAGATATAAATGTATAGTACTGACTAACCTAATGCTTAAATAATTCATTTATTCTAAAAGGGTAAGTTAAATATACTTTACCAGGCACTGTTGTGAATGATCCAACAAAAAAATCTAATGCAGCCATCAAGATCACTAAAAGAAGAACAAACTGCAATTTGATAACCCACTTGACACCAGCTACATTTATAGTGCCTAATAAAAGAACTGCTGCTACAGCAAAGCCTCGGGCTGCCCATGTGTTTTGTGTGCCAACTAAATCTGCCATAGATTCACCAAATCCAAACACATTTAATGCACATCCTACAGCCTGAAAAGTATGATTTTATTTTTTAACAAGATTAAAAACTAAAACAACAAAATTATTACAGACAATAAATTGTACAATGTGACAATTTTTGTTTTTATTTTGTCTATCAATAGATATAAGAAATATTGTTTATTAATAAAGAAAGCTTGTGAGGATGTATATATGGATGGATATTTGTTACTCTTTCATGCAAAAGCTACTGATCAGATCTTGATGAAACATTACAACAATATAGCTTATATGAAGATAAAGATTGACATCCCTCCACGGCACCATGGTCAATCTCACTGATATCTACAGCCATATATGCTAGCCACTAGACCACCAAGGCAGTTAAAAAGATAAAGTAATATATAAATGAACCATATCAGCAGAGCTGTAGGAAAATACAAGTATATTATATTTTAATACCTGACCAAAGCAATACACCATTCCTAAAGCTCCTCCAAGTCTTGATCCTAATGTATGAGCTAGTAGAAAATATACTCCACCACTTTCTATTCTACATCTTTCACATATTCCCACAGCAGACAATACTGAGATCAATGCTACAAATACTAAAGAAAGAAACTTATTAATAATCATATTTTATGTTATATAATAATGATTTATTCATATAATTAAACATAGTTACCTGTAAAAATAACTATAAGCACAGCATTAACGAGACCAGCCTGTCCAACCATCCAACCAGATCTCAAAAATACAATAACTCCAAAAATATTTATGAGACATGATGTAAAAACTCCATCCCATGTTCCAAAGAGGACTGGCTGTGATATGAAAAAGTTTGACTTCCACCAAGGCACGTCACCCTTGAAAAGAAAGAAAAGTTAAAAATGCACAATGTGTCCATTCAAAGTTTATTAATAATAGTCTTACTGTTTGTTTCGCTTAACAATACCTGTATGTCAGCAAAAATTTCGTTAGCTCCAGAAGCTTGATGTCCACCGGTTCCATATTGTGATTCATTTCCTAAGTCTACAAAACCACCGGATTGTCTTCGCATACGAGCCCTGTCGTACCCCGGTTCGTCGCTACGAAAACTATCTACGTCTAAATCGATTCTTCTTGTTCTATTAGTCGGATCCATCGTATTATATATAATAGCAGTTTTGTTTATTTCATTATTTTAATAATATGAACTAGCTGTCTATTTCATCCAAGTTTCTTGCGTGTGATTAAAAACACAAACTTTTGAGAATACATTGTGACGTATGTCAATTGTCATAACTTGAAAGTTGAAACGTCAATTTATTTTGCCAACTTGCAAATCTAAAGCCTTCCAAATGGTACTCCTATGTAGAAGAGTGGGGAAGAATTTTGCCTTTTTTCCCCCGCCAGATGTCGCAATCACTATAGCCCTCATATATATACCTCATATATCGTATATTGTAAAGCTCTACCTATAGCGTAGATGGATTTTTTTTTCTTTTTATCTAAAATTTAATTAAAATGACAAATTGTGCAGCAGCTTCACTAATCACCACCTGCTTCACCAAAGTGGTATTTAGCTTTAAGATAAAAAATAAAAAATCAATTAGATTTTTTTCAAAATTCCTCCCTTACAGGAGCAAAAGTAGGTAATAAAGTTTATATGGATAAAAAAATTATGAACAGAATTACTTGAAATTCGGTGTAAATGATCTTCAATACATATAAATAAATAAATTTTTTAGCATTTTTTATGTAAAGAAGTACAAAAAAATTGTTCATCTGTAGACGACTTAAGATTTTTAAAATGACTTACTGCAAAATGATGTCCACATAGCCTTAAATATAAAAATTGTGATTTCGCCAATTTTATTCGTCTTATTGCTGTAACCCACAATTTCTTTAGTTTTTGTCTTTTGGGAAGTACCTAATGATATCCATTTTCTTTGCATCCTGGCACTGCATAATTTGTTATTTCAATTAAATTTTAAATAAAACGAAAAAAACAATATCCACGCTGTAAAGCTTTACATTACATGGTCTTGCCCTAAATATTGTTACAAAGGAAAAAACATTTTTTCTATTGCACCTAACATTTATTACTAAGACCTGAATCGCTTGCCACCGGTTTCATTTGACTATATCGATGTAACTCGATTGTTAAAAGATATGACAATTATGAAGACGGAACTATCTGAGTTTCAAACTAAGATGAGTGCTGAAATTAATGAGCTGCGTAATGCATTTGAACACCAGAAAAATAAATGCAAAGAAACTAGTACGTCCCAGTTAACGCCCGTGCATTCAAACACGCTACCGCTTATGCCTATACCACGTACTAACAATACGAAACCGGTTGAAGCAGAATTTACGCCAACGTATAGGGATATTGTACGCAAAGTGTTGCGCCCGCGACGTACTAAATTCGACCATATGCGAACGACACCGAAAGATGAGATTCGCATGCTTAGTAAGAACGGACTAAGTTCAAAGTCGAACGATAACGAGCAGTTTGATTGCGATGATAACTTTACATTAGTTAAGAATAAAAAACGTAAATATAAAATTAATAATTTGCGAGGAACTTGTGAAACTACGGGAAAGATACGAGTCGTAGAATCTCAATGTTCGATTTACGTTTCTCGTGCGATGAAATCTGTCACTGTATCGGATATAATCGACCATATTACGGACATGGGTAAACAATGTTCTAACGTGGAGTTACTACAGCAGTTTAATGAAACGTCGTTTAATTCTTTTAAAGTAACAATACCGACGAGTAAAATAGATACCTTTTTGGATACTAACTTCTGGCTCGCGGGTCTTGTTTATCGAAGATTTCGTGAACGTAGACAACCTACCGTCCTTAATATAAAACTTAATGGATAGTTCTAATGAATTATTGGTGAAAATGGTTACATTTAACTGTAAAAGCGTAAAGAGATCTGTAGAACAAATAAGATCTATATGTCGATTTTCTGATATTGTGGCTTTACAGGAAACGTGGCTTTTACCTCATGACCTTGGTTTTATTAACGAAATCAGTGCAGACTTTGGATGCTTCGCCAAGTCATCAATTGATACGACATCAGGTATCCTGAGAGGACGCCCATACGGTGGCTTAGCTTTATTATGGAGAAAATCAATGTTTTCCGATGTCACAGTCATTAACTGTACGAGTGATAGATTGGCGGCGGTGCAAATTAATATGGGCTGTCGTCAATTTTTGATCTTAACTGTATATTTACCAACCGATTCGGAAGAAAACCTAGTTGCGTTTACGGACTGTTTGGCCGGCATAGAAGCATTGATTGATGACAGTAGTGCGGAGGCTATATATGTGTTAGGAGATTTTAATGCACATCCTAGCGCTAGATTTGGAAAAGAACTACTGGAATTCTGTGTGGAGCACGCTCTAGTGTGTGTGGATAAAGACCTAATGCCAAGTGATACGCATACCTTCGTGAGTGAAGCAAACGGAGCTAGGAGATGGCTTGATCAATGTGTGGTGTCAAGTGCTGCTAGGGCTACTGTCAAGTCGGTGCACGTGGACTATGGTGTTTATTGGTCGGACCACTTTCCCTTAGTAATTACGTGTAAAATGAATGTGGTAATAAGTAAAATTACTTTGACGAGCACTAACTGGTTAAATGGTATTAGATGGGGCCAAAGGCGAGATGGACAAATTAGTTTATATTCTAAGTACTGCTGTGATAATTTAGGTTCTTTAAGTCTATCTAGTCAATGTGATAATTGTTTATTTTATAATTGTAAAGATCATTTGTTTTTAATTGATGAATTTTATGATAAAATTGTAAAGGTATTGCAAACTGGAGCCATTAATAGCGCAATAAAGCAAAATGATGCACCGAAAAAGCCTAAGAAAGTCTGTGGATGGAACTATCATGTAAAAGACTGTCACCAAATTGCGAAATTGCATTATGCATGGTGGAGTTTTAACAATAAGCCAAATGCGGGTGAATTGTATAATAACATGATCGTAAGCCGTAATAGGTTTAAGAACAAGCTGAAGTGGTGCCAAAACAATCAAGAAAAAATTAAATTAGACATGTTGGCAACTTATAAATCTGAAAAGAATTTTATAAGATTTTGGCGTACTACAAACTCATTTAATTATAAAACTAGTGTTCCTGTGGCAGTAGACGGTATAAGTGATAGGAGGAAAATCGCTGATTTGTTTTCACACCACTTCAGGGTTGATCCGTTGGCGACTCGTCAGGTGAGTAGTATACAGAAGAGTGACACGACTGTCAATGTATGTTTTACTGCTGAGGACGTGGCTACGGTAGTAAGCAAAATGAAGAGAGGTAAGTCTCCAGGTTTAGATGGTTTAGGTATAGAACATATATTGTATGCTGGTGATGAGATATATAGGGTACTAGCCAGCCTTTATAGTGTATGTATGAATGTTGGTTACCTACCGAAGCAACTCATGAAGACTGTGGTAGTTCCTATTCCTAAAAACAAAACAGGCGACCTTTCTAGTACCAAAAATTATAGGCCGATTTCGTTAGGAACTATATTAGGAAAGATACTAGAAAGACTCATCTATTCGGATGTAAAAGAGAATATAAAGTTGAGTGATGCTCAGTTTGGTTTTCGTTCTGGTCTTTCAACAGACTCGGCAATTTTCAGCTTGAAGGCAACGGTCAACCACTATATTAATAGGGGCACATCTGTATATGCCTGCTTTTTGGACCTGAGTCGTGCCTTCGACCTAGTAAATTATAATTTACTTTGGGAGAAACTGCATGCTTCTGATGTCCCAATAAAGACTGTCAATCTGTTGAGATACTGGTATGAGAACCAATTAAATAGCGTGAGATGGGGCGACGCGACATCTAGCGAATATAAGCTAGAATGCGGTGTGCGTCAAGGAGGGTTGACCTCTCCGGACCTATTTAGCCTTTACATAAACAACCTGATTGAGGAATTAAGAAGTGCCAGAGTTGGTTGTCATGTTGGATCAACTTGCATGAATAATTTCAGTTATGCTGACGACATGGTACTTCTTAGTCCCTCAATCAGAGGGCTACGTAAACTCTTAGCAATCTGCGAACATTATGCTGCTGATCATGGCTTGAAATATAACGTTAAGAAGACAGTTATGATGGTATTTCGGGCTGGCAGAGGTCCGGAGACGATTCCGGGCATATATTTAGAAGGGTTATTAATAGAGAGGGTTGAGCGGTTTAGGTATCTAGGCCATATTCTAACTGACAAACTTGATGACAGGGACGATATAGAGAGAGAACGCCGGGGGCTAGCTGTGAGATGCAATATGCTCGCGCGTAGATTTGGGAAGTGCAGTGATGATGTGAAGGTGACATTATTTAAAACATATTGCTTATGTTTTTATACATGTCAGCTTTGGGTAAAATTTCCTAGGCGAGCGATTAATAACATTAGGGTACAATATAATGACGCATATCGTATCCTGATGAAATTGCCCAGATACTGCAGCGCTTCCGATATGTTTGCAAAAGCTCGAGTGCCTGATTTTTTCGCGATAATTAGATCACGAATCGCTTCATTTTGGAATCGTTTGAGAGTCTCTAACAACGAGATCCTTGCCAAGTTGGTAAAAACTTTTGACTGCACGATTCTTAAGTTTTGGCTTTCGGTGCATCAGGAGGCTAATAAAAAATAGATTCTTATAGATTTAGTAGTAATGGCCTATATACTCAACAGCGATATATTGTTTTTAATTCTAGTTTAATTTAATGAAGAGTCTGACTGAATTTTGTTTTTATAATGTTTTTATTGACTTGCATATATATGCATAAGTGATATAAAAATTGACTTGTATAACTACATATATGTTATTATATTATAAATTGGGTGTATACCTTTGCAATAAATATTATTATTATTATTATATTACAGTGTGTTAGTTTGAAACATTAATATACAACCATTAAAATATATATAGGTAGCTTATTGGAAGTGGTCTACATTGGCTGCAATATAGTCCTTTGAACGTTGAGGCCAGTTATCAATAGAAGCACGCACTCTTTCCATGGGAAACTTCTTCACTGCCAATCGTATGGATTGTTTCAGGGACTCCAAATTATCATGGCATTTAAAGCAAACCATACTTTTTAAAACTTAAAACATAAATCATAGTCCAGCGGATTAATATCGGGACTAGATGAAACTTATTGGGACTTCTCAAGAATGGTATCTTGATACACTTGTGCCGATGTTTTGATAACTTTTTCACAAAAATATGGCACAGTCACTTCTTCATAGCTAACACCCTACCAAACCATCATTGAAATCGGATAATGCCTACGTGTACTCTGTTGACTAATTGAGAAATTTCCTTAGAGCTTAGAGCATAAATACGGTCATTTTGTTTGTTTAAAATATTGCTCAATTGTAAAAAAATTCTCTGTGAAAATCATTAAATCAACATTTTTCTGTGACCTCCCATTGCGTACCGCTTAAGTAGTTGTTTTGATTTTACCACCCTATTCTTTTTTAAAATATCAAAAATATCAATTAAGAAATCAAAAGTGCGTCTCTTATAGGCTGCATGTCCTATGTCATCTTTTAAAATACGCGACATGGTTCTAGGTGCTATATTCATCTCCCGAGATAAAATTTTTTGCTTTCGGACAGGATTTCTTCGAATTCTTTCCCTTACTGCTTTGATCACCTTTTTCGAGCACTACGTGGACGGCGTGTACGTGTGGCGTGGGTACGTGTGTAATACAATCACAGCAATTCGGTTCTCTTTATCACCCCACTCCATTTTAATATCACAAAATATTTTACAATGTATTGGCGCGAAAATGAAAAAAAATGAACAATCATATAAAAATGAGGGATTCCAAATTCATAATATTTTGTTTATTTTTAATTATAACAGTATTTATGGCCAGACTATTTATATTGATGGTGAGGTCTGAAGACTATAGTGGTCGTGACATCTGGCGGGATAAATTAGCAAAATTCTTCCCCATTGGAAAACATCCTGTGTCGCCCACGAAAGAGAAAATTGTTTTTATATAGTGTTATATATTTTATCATAATCCGTTATGGACTACAAATATCTATAATGCTTAGTATAACAAAATATCAGATTTCCAAAGTTTGTTTTTACTAAATTCGTTAATATAAATTAAAATATCATTGGCCATATTGTAATAATACCTAAAGTGTAACGAGCCTAAACAGCAAAATATAAAGTCTTACTTTCCTAAAAATAATATCAAAATTATACTTAGAAACTTATTTTAGTTTACTGAGATCACAAAGTTATACTGTGCCCCAGGGGTGTGGTAAAGTACGGTAGACTAAATATATATCAAACGAAATAAAATATAAAAGATAAAAACCTATAACTCATCAATTATATTCCATAATCAAAATAAATAAATTTAAAATATTATCTTACTTTAAGCATGATTAGAGTGCCTTAATATTTTTCTAGGAATAAGTAGCAATCAGCCAGACGTTTTGTTTTCTTTTCCATTTTAGATAATGACAATATAAGCTCGATATCATCTTGTCGGATGGTAGCAAGATCCGGTCCTAAAGGAAAATAAAAGACATTATCTACTTTATTACTTTTGTGTAGATATAACTTACGCACACTGTTACAGTGCATACACCCAGACATTACAGTTAAAATCGTTAATATTTAATGGGATAGAAATTGCTATAAACTTAAAGTAACTTGCAATTTTAAGTAACTTAAAGTACGCAACGGATCTCGATGCATACTGTACCCCCTGTTTCACTGTCTGCCACTTGATCCTACTGTAATTTTTTTTAAATATCTCAAGAGCAAGTAAATTGTTAAGTAAATTACGTTTATAAAACCTAAAAAAATCTATTAATGATCATTTTTATAAAGCACTAGATTTTTCCGCGGCTCCGCCCACGTTCAGATGACCAAAACCCAAATTCTTAGGTTTTACATATTAGTATACTTTTACATTGCAGTTTTTGTACTTTTTCTCAGAAATGAGATATTTTCCATATCACCATACCAAATTTCATCAAAATCCCTCCAGTGGTTTTTCTGTGATGCGGTAACAGACAGACAGACAAACATTCTAAAAACTACAGATTCGGTCTCTGTATCGATAATAATGTCTATTTCAATAAGATTTTCCAAAAAATATTTAATGTACAGATTCGGCTTAGTTACAATTTTATTATATGTGTACAGATTTTGAACGTTTTATTGATAGTATAATGATACTATACTATTATTAAACCCATTGTTAATTTTGCTGTTCGCTTTTAATTAAAGTGATGACGACAACATTTTTAGTGTAAAATTAATATTAATTAATTCAACATTATTT